CAAACAGACATGGTTAAAAAAAGGGATACATTTATGATTTTTTAACCAACAGAGAAAGTATATTACAATTCTGTGGTATCAAATTTCTGATTCAGTTTTGTAGCTGTTTATAAAATCTGGCTGGTCAGACAGGCAGGAGGGATTTGGATATCACTATTTCTTTTACAATAACAAACAAAATTACTCTCAAGTCTCCTGAGGAGTGGATGCAATCTCCAGGAAACTTCAAGTAGGGACAAATAAATAAGCATTTAATTTTATCTATTACTACATTAATGATCTATCTCCCACTTTAATTGATACCTTCCAGAAATAATCTAATTGTCTTATTATTATTATTATTATTATTATTTTTATTTTCTTTGATTTCTGGCGTTTACACATTTCTTTCCGGGTCCCCCAGGGACCTAAGGTTAGAAATGGCGTCATGACACTTTCCACTCAAAAAAAAAAAAAAAAAAAAAAAAAAAAAAGATTACATAGATAAAGCCCTTCGTAAGGTGTGGGCTGTACTTGTCAGAACAATTTTCTGTATCTCCTTGAGGCATGGACTTCCAGGAATCCCTTCAATTAGTCTACTGGAATCTTTTCCAACCAGTCCTAGGGCTCCAACTACAACAAGGGATTGTTGATGTTCCCATATGCCACATTTTTCGATTTCTATTTCAAGGTCCTTGTACTTTGACAACTTTTTGAATATCTTCAAAGATACATTGCAGTCAGCAGGGACTGCCATATCAATAAGGAGGCACCGTTTTTGTTTGTGGTCTTTAATAACAATATCTGGGCGGTTGGCCTTGATTGTTCTATTATTATTATCATTATTATTATTACATAAAGTTCATATAGCATGAGAATTAGTAGTTTAAAGTTAGGTTCCACCACAGACTTACAAAAAAACCCAAAAAGTACATTTTAAATAGTTTAAATGTCTTTTTTAATGTTAAATTTTTATTTTATTTTTATTATTATTTTATTTATTATTTTATTATTATATTATTTATTTTTATTTAATTTTATTTTTAGCCTAACGCTAACACATGTGAAAAGAAGAATAAATTTTGGTATGTAAATAAAGTTTTTAAATATTTTTAAAAGATTGGCATATTCACTCATCAACTTATCAAGCTGATAAGTTATTGATGAAAAATGTAAACAACAAATTTAAAAATCTCTTAAAAATCCAATATTTATCTTATAGAAGTGTTTCAAAGTAAATTCGTAAATTTAAGGATTAATTAACTGGATTTTCTAAAAGTAATGTGTGTTTTGACTTAAAACATAATGAAAATAATGTTTATTTATACACAGTAGCTTGTAATTGTAATCTGTCATCAAGGTCCTACGTCAACAACAGTGATTTTCTGCTTTCATATCTGAGTTTTAAAAGTGCACAAAAAATTATTAAAAAAAATTAAAGAAATACAGAAATTCATACAGAAATGTCCCATATCTGAGTTTTAAAAGTGCACAAAAAATTATTTAAAAAAATTAAAGAAATACAGAAATTCATACAGAAATGTCCTCAAGGACACGTGGCCCAATGGATACAGACGTTCATTAGATCCAATGACTAGACCCAAAGAGTTGTGAGTTCAATACCAGGCCACAGAAATGGTGAACCAAAACATGGAGAGTTGAGCTAAAGGGAGATAACTGAGACATCTGGAAGAGGCATGGCAAGTGGAACTAGTACAATCTACCCCAGTGGATGAAATAAAGGGTTTAGTTCGAAATTCCAATCACCTGAAGAAGACCAGAGCGTACAAGAGCTGGAATGTAAATATGGCAATGAAGATGTGGATAACAGTCCGAATAATGCAAATAGAAATACAGAAGATCAGAAGTGCAATAATCAAGAAATTGGTATTTATGTTTAGAAATAAATTATCTTTAACTTTATATAACAATAACTTAAGAATATAATCTTTTATTCTATACGCCATTTTTTGTGAAATTTAGAGTAGAATAAATAATTTTATTTTTTATATTACAGTGTAACCCGGATATAAGAGAAACCCGGATATAAGATAGATTTTCTCTGGTCCCAAATTAGAGCCTGTGTTAATGTATATAAATTAGACCAAACCCGGATATAAGAGAAACCCGGATATAAGATAGATTTTCTCTGGTCCCAAATTAGAGCCTGTGTTAATGTATATAAATTAGACCAAACCCGGATATAAGAGAAACCCGGATATAAGATAGATTTTCTCTGGTCCCAAACTAGAGCCTGTGTTAATGTATATAAATTAGACCAAACCCGGATATAAGAGAAACCCGGATATAAGATAGATTTTCTCTGGTCCCAAATTAGAGCCTGTGTTAATGTATATAAATTAGACCAAACCCGGATATAAGAGACTTCGTCTCCAGTCCCGACAACTCTCTTATATCCGGGTTACACTGTACATTAAAAAAGAAATTAAAAAATGAGTGATACTTTAAGTTTAGTTCATTGCTTTTGGCTTCTTTACCTGTTTAATGCCATGAAAATAATTGAATCCAATTAATCAGATCTTTTTTAATTATTCTGAATTTAACAAATTATTGAATTGCGCTTCCAAAAAGGAAGGCAGTCAAAGGAAGTAATTCAGAATTATTTATTTTATTTTATTTTTTTAACTACTTCTGTACTAAAAATACTAACTGCGAAAATAGGAAAAAATTAAAATTCTTAAAAAAAATGGTTCACTCACAAAAATCAAATTATTAAACATTACATTTATAAATTTAAAAAAAAAAAAACACTTGAATTATTCAAGTGTTTGTTTTTTTTTGTTTTTTTTACATATAGTTTTTTTACTTTTACAACTGGAATAAACTTTATTAGTTTTTTTTACGCAAAAGATAGGAGAGGACTTGCACTTGACTTAACAGACAGGTAATTTTTTTTCTTTTTTTTTTTTTTGAAGAGGTTATAAACATGCATTTTCGGTGACCGGTTGCACTACACAGGTAAATTTTTTCTAGTGGGGTGGGTAAAATAAAATTCATACAAAAACATATGGAAGGGGAACTTTCTTTAGCAGTAAAAAAAATTTGCGAACACTCCCCAAATTAAAAAAAAAGTCTTGTTTAGTTTACCCCTATCTTTCACATATTTACACACTACCAAAAAAAAGGAATAACAAGTCATTCAGACTTTTTAAGGTCATATGAGTAAACTTTGTAGAAATATTGTTTATTGTACTGAAAATTTTGTTTAAATTGGAATTTTCCCTGATTTTTTTACATTTTTAATAACTGAAGGTTACCTTTCATTTCGAAAATAAAATGCATCCATTTTTGGTAGTACACCTATTTGTATTTTAAGTTCAAAATTGATTGCGATTTTGGCTTGTATTCCTTTAATTTTGTTTATTAAAAGACGTCACACTGCATTCTTTCACGGCGGCTGACGTAGATTTCTTCATTGCAAAACAAAACAAAAAAGTAAAAAAAGGCTTTAAAAGTAAATATATGGTGATGTTTTATACCCGTTTTTATTTTATCTTTCCTTTATTATTCTTTCATTGTTTGTTGTTTTGTTTTTTTTTTTTAAAAAAAAAAAAAAGGCTAAATAAAATTATTTACTATATTTCGCTTATTTTCATCAGAAAGCAACAAGTACAGGGTGGTCTGAAAGTCTTGTCACCCCTATCTTTCATCTTTACAATCCGTAAAAGTTCATGTCAACCATCTGAAATATTTCGGACCACCCATATGGCATCTAAGGATCGAACTCACGACTCAGTACTTAATTACTATTTTATTTTAAATATTTTGCTCTTAGGAAAGGAAACGTCATTTGAATTTTTTCTTTTTTCGCCGTACGAAATTATCTGAATTGACGTTTTATTTACCCAAGAAATGCTATAAAAAGGCTTGAGAGTTAACTTAAAACAAATAAAATTTAGCAGGGTTGTCTCGTTCAATCAATTACGACTGGGTAGTGAGTTCGATCCTCACTGGGTGATCCATACTTGCGGCTTTGTGCGACATAAGTAGGAACTTTCAATACTTCGCTATAAAAGAGCATAATGAAAAAAAAGACCCCAAAAACTTGATAAACAATTTTTTGATCATCTATGTTCATGTTATTAAGGAAGACCAAAGCAAAAAGTATTTTTTTGATTATTTTTTTTTTACATTTTTTAAATTCTTCCTAATTAGCACATCCGAAATTTTAGTTAAAATAAAGTTTTTTTTTTGTTTTTTTTTGAGTCAGCAAAATTAAGTTACGCTTCTTGGTAAATCACTAAAAGCAAATAAAATAACATAAAAATTTTAATAATTTATCCAGTCAGAAAAAAGAAAAATTACTTTGTATGTCTGCAGGATAAGTTTATTAAAAAAAAAAAAAAGTTTAGATTTGTTGGTTAAAAATTAGATTAGTGTCTATTTTTATTTTTTGTATCTTCTTTCTTTCTCTCATCTTCAAAAACTAATATTTTTAAACACGTAAAATAAAAACATAATTCAACTAAAAAACCGATAAATTTATTTTTTACCATGACTCATCTCGCAGATGGAGATTTTTATTTTTATAACTTAAATTACCAAAAAAAAACAACTTAAAAGTCTTTTGTAATTTACTTTTACAAGATCGTTACAACAGATAATTTTTTTTTTTCATATCTGAATAATTTTATTTTTTGTCATTTTGCTGTGTGTTGATAATTTGTTCCTTATTAATTTTAAACAAAAAGAGAACGTCAAAAAAAAGTTTTAATTAAGAGTAAGACGTTAATTAATTCTCCATTTAAATATGGCAGGCTTAAGTTAAAAAGGAAGGGTTTGTTTTTGTTTTTTAATTTCTGAATGATGCAATCAAATTGCGGGGAAAAAAATCACCCAGCTGGATCATTTTTAGTCTAACGGTCAACAAATGGACTTGTAGCTCACTAAAAAAGTGAGTTCGATCCTCACTTGGTTCCAAATACTTGTGCCAAGATTTTATTTTTATTTTTAAATAATGAGGAGAAATTTTCACTTGTTAAACAGTTAAATGAACTTACCCTTCTGTCTGATAAGACATGATTAACGAAAGTCTTTTTAAGGTCTGGATAATTAAACTGTTAGTAAGCTGTTGTGATTAATTTCCTTCTTTCAGATCTTCCTTGTCTTGTGTCTCGGCTCCTTTTTTGAGTAAGGTTCAGAAACAAAAAAAAAACGAGGGAGGAAAACGCCTTCCAACAACACCAGAGCACACCACACCCTTTTTTTTTTTTTGGCTGTTACATAAAGAAGACAAGAGCTTCTTCTATTAACATGTGCTCTCCGTGGGTCTTTTTATTTTTTATTTCTTCTTTTTTTTAAATATTTTTTAAGATAAAAATAAACTATTTTAGAAGATCTCGGTAATTTATTTATTCTAAAATTCTACACTTTGCTATCACATAATTATTTACGCGATTTAAAAATGAATCTGCTATCGGAATTGGACGTAGTGGCAAATATACTGCTACTCGCTGAAGGTAATTTTGCGTTCACAACTGATAGTACTTAATGTAAGTTTTTTCTTTTCTTTTTTCTTTCTTTAGAGAAGTGAAATTATCAAACAAAATCCTAATGCATCAAATTAAATTGGGAATTTTAATGAAGAGGGACAGACTAAAATTTTGTGGTGAAAAAAGTTTTGTGGAAAATCAAGCAAGGGGGTGTAGGCGACCCACAGATAATTCTTTGCCACTCCTTCCGTGAAAATGATGTGTAAACTTATTTTAGTATCGTCTATATTTCTAAGATTAGTTATTATGTACAGTACACTATTTACATTATTCGGACTATTGTCCTCATCTTTGTCGCCATGTTTATCACAACGTTTCGGCCGTTGTACGCTCCGGCTTTCTTCAGGTGGTTGGAATGTCGAACTGAACCCTTTATTTCGCACAATGGGGTAGATTGTTCTAGTTCCACGTTCCATGTCTAATGGATGTCAGTTATCAGTTATCTCCTGTCAATTCCCCTGTGAAAGTTCTCCACTGCCTTAACCAGGTATTGAACTCACACTCTTTGGGTCCTGTCACTGGATCTAACTAACGCCTTTATCCACTGTGCCATGTGTCCTTGAGTTCAGTTCGACATTCCAACCACCTGAAGAAGGCCGGAGCGTACAACGGCCGAAACGTTGTGATATACATGGCGACAAAGATGAGGATAATAGTCCGAATGTAAATAGTGTAAACTTATTTTAGTGTGAAAAAATTCTTACTCCCGTCCCTCGGATTCAAATGTCATCAACCACTTCCCAATTCTAAACATTCTGGGTAGCGACAAGCCTAGCTGCGATGTTTTAAGTAAAAAATTACTTAATTATAATTACTGGAGTTCGAAACTTAGTTCTCAATTGTCCAAGACAAGAAAAAAAATTAATTAATTAATAAAATTTCCAATCCTATCTCTCCTGTCAGTTTCTAAAATCGTTACAGCTATATTTTAAACTAGCTTAAAAACCACCCTATCGGGCAGCATTTAAGCTAGGTCCTGTCGGGGGCTCTTGATAGGGCCTTCGGCTTTTTCAGGAGTTTGAGTCCTTTAATTTTTTGCAGATTCTCAACACTGGAAGCTCCCCTGGCTGCCGTTTGATCTGAGTTTTCATTTGCACAGGACTTTCTTTTCTTGCTGCAGCCTTGGCTCCTATGATTGCGATCTGGTCCTCTGTTGGCAGAGATTTCTTTTTGCGAGGCATACAGCTGCTGTAAGCAATAGGCAACAATAAACTACAGTAGAACTCAAAATTGATCGCCGCATTTATGTATTGCATTAATATTTAAGCTTACCTTTTAAGTTCAACGATAATTCTTCTGCTGCTAAATAATTTAAAGTCAATTTGATGTACGTAGGTCCTTACTTTCCACACAAACAATTATTTTTATTTTATGGGTGACTTCCGCTGGATTTCGGAATTAATTTTGATTATTCCCAAATTTATTTACAAATTATAAAAATTGTTATGATACAAAAAAAAATTTGCCGTAAAAAATCGTCGAAAACAATCGCAGTGTGGACTCTTCCACAACAAGCCAGTTAACCCCTGCTAGGGAAATGCACTATTCCTGTTATAATTTTCACCATCACAATCTTACAAATATATAATATATAAGTATTCATTGGTCAATCACCTTTAATCTAGCTTGCTGATTGGTCAGTCCCGACCAATCAAACCGCCTGCACGCGGCCAATCTGTTTTCCCGCTCAATATACTTGGAGCCCCCCACGTGATACACGACCATTATATAAACAGAACACGTGTAAACTCCCTGAGTTTCTTTTCATTTATGTCTCTCTTGTGCGCGTCTCATTCCTTGCTACCAAGTACCAAGATGTAATCTTCAAGAACTCCCGTCTTAACCATTGCGGTCAGACGTTAAAGACCATTACCAACATTCACACAAGTACGAACTCTGAAATCTCTTCTGAACTTTTACCAATACACAATTCCAAACATGGTAAAGAAATTTTATTCTTCCAAATTACAGTTTAATATTACTTCCTTTTAATATGAACTCAAGTACAACTATTACCTAATCAAAGGGACACGACTCTGTCCTAACTTTTCAGTTCGCATGCATGTATATAAAACAGTAATAAATTGAAGTGTTATGTTTTGAAACAAGATGTTTATTAATCTTTATTATTCTCTATCTTGTATTAATTGTTGTGGATGGAAGATTACAGAACACACACAATTTAAAACCTTCTGATAATTCAAACCTTCTGATACTTCAAGCCTTTTGATAATTCCTCTCCAACACACATCCGCAACAGCAGTAATGAAAACTTGGGAATCCAAAATTTCATGCTTGCGGGTCTGAATCCGGCCCGGGATGTTTCTAATTTTCTCAGAATCGGCCTGATTCCAAAATGGTATGATATGTTGGGCTATGGCCTCTAGGAATAAAGTTGAAAAAAGTCTGACATACTGAAATTCGCATTTATAGATGACTTAAATAAAAATACCATATGAAAAAAAAATGTCAGTTTCCGTGAAATTGTAAAACAATTTTTAAAATAAAATTTAATTTCTTTTGTGGACGGTTTTATGATGAAAAAAATGCCCTAAACATAACAAAAACAAATTTATACCAAGATCTTAAGAGGAAAAATCAAAGGAATTTTTTTTATTCGTTTTAGAAACTTAGAGATTTTGAAATTTGTACAGGAAATTTGATATTTCTTTCTTCTTTTTTTTTTTTTTTTTTTTTTCGGTGAAAAACACATTGATTTGGAAATTCTTGCAAAAAGCGAATAATTGTCGGATTTTAATGAAACTTTAGATTTCTACTTCAATTTAATAATATTTTATTTGTGATCTAACTAATTCCATTGGTTAAAAAAAGATTACAATACATTTCCTATCTAACAGTTGAGTACTGCGATCGACGAAATCTGTAAAAAAATTTCTAGAAAACACCATTGTTTTATATTTTGGATTTGATAGCCTTGTGCCATGCAAAAGTTAAATGTTTGTGGAGAAGTTTATTTTCACGAAGGTAACACAAATAATACCTTCGGGTTCTTCCTATTCCTCCGCAACAAAACTTTCAAGACTTATTCAAAAATGAATGAAATTATTTTGAAACGTTTCTTTTTTTTATAAAATCTTCGTAAAATTTCTTTTTTTTTTTTTTTTTTTTTTTTTTTTTTTTTACATCTGGTATCCTAATTTAGTTTTTATATTTCGAATTTTTTTTTTTTTTTTTTTGTAGCGCTTAATGTTTAAGTTAAAGGAAAAGTCTGCGAAGAATATTTTTGTTTGTTTTTTGTTTTGTTGTCAAACAGGATTTGCAGTTACAAAAAATCTGCCCTGAATCATAAAATGAAAAAATAAATGCAATAAAATACAAACTTTGTTTTAATTAGAAATGCTTAATTGCTTTTATAAAAATAAAATTATGGACACTTGACTATAAGTAATTTGGGGGTGGGGAAGAATGATGGATTTTACAAGAATCCTTTGTGATTTTTTTTTTTTTTAGTTTTAATTCACTAGGGGGAGCGTATTTTATTGAATATGTTTGATTCTAGGTAATTTGGGTGCCCTGTGTTCGAATTTCAACTCGTTTTGCCTCTACCAGGTCCTGATTCTTGTTTAACCGCTTATGAACCATTTTCCAGATTCTTGAAATTAGGACTAAAAAATAAAGTCATGTGTTACAGTTAATTTCTTTATTCAAGTTTCATGAATACAAGCAGTTCAAACTACAGTAAAATTATTATGAAATAGGTACTTAATACTAGGTACTTAATCTTGTGATGCGCCAATTTTAACAAAAGAAGAGACACTGTAGATATCATTAGTTGGAATAAGAAATTAAATTACACTTTGTTGATTGTTAATCTTAAATCAGACTAAGTGACTAGTACCAGAGTCAAGACTAAATTTGGAGATTTTAGTAAGAAATATTACATTACGCTTTCAACTAATCACTTAAAATCTTGGCCTCAAACTTGTAATACTTGGGGTAAAGTAAACGCTGCTAAAAGCAAACTAGCAAAGATCCCTAAACTACAATGAAATAAACTAAATGTGAATCAGAGCGACGTAACGAGTGACCCGCAGAAATTAAAAAAACAACAACAACAAAAATATTCAATCAGAAAAATTGAAATAACATTTATAGACCAATCAAAATGAAGGAATGATATTTCAAACAGTAATGTCCCGATTCCTATCATATACTTTTTAAGAAGCGTGTGAGACTCGTTTCTACAAACGTGCCAAAGCGACGTAACTGACACGATCCCAAGAAGAGAAATAATTATAAGTTTTTACGCAATGGTCGGTCTCTCTCTCTCTCTCTCTCTCTCTCTCTCTATATATATATATATATATATATATATATATATATATATATATATATATATCTTCAAATGCAATGAAAACGAATCAAATATAAATTCAAGCGTTCATGACATTAATTTAAAAAAGAGCTCAATACAAAAGTAGGGCTATAGAGCTTTATTATAGGTTATTACATTCAGACAGACGTATTTCCGCTACAAAAATGCATTAATGTTTCGATGCAGCATAGC